TTTTTTTTTTTTTTTTTTTTTTTTTTTTGGAGAGGACTAGGGTATGGTGTATTCCTCTGGGAAAGTATCTGGGAAGTTTTTTGTCTTTCTCTTTCTTTTTTTCTTTTTCTTTCTTTTTTTCTTTTTCTTTCTTTCTTTCTTTCTTTCTTTCTTTCTTTCTTTCTTTCTTTCTTTCTTTCTTTCTTTCTTTCTTTCTTTCTTTTTCTTTCTTTCTTTCTTTCTTTCTTTCTTTCTTTCCTTCTTTCTTTCTTTCTTTCTTTCTTTCTCTCTTTTTCTCTCTTTCTGTCTTTCTCTCTCTCTTTCTCTCTCCCTCTCTTTTTATTTCTCTGTTTTTCTTTCTTTCCCTTCCTTCTTTGTTTCTCTTCCTTCTTTCCTCTTTTCTTCTTTCCTCTTTCTTCCTTCCCCCCTTCCTTTTCCCCTTTTCCTCCTGCTAGTGCATCTAAAATACTCAAAAGCAACCTTTTAAAAAATATATGTATATATTAGTGACAAAAATAAAAAAAAAGTCTGACACGAGATGTTTAAAATATTAGGGAAGCCACTCTCGAGTTAATATATTCTTATTGATGTATTACTAGAAAAGAAGTGTGATTTATTTATACGGGATACTGTACAGCGCTTAGGCACAGGATGTTTTGATTACTGCTAACACCTATCGCTTTTTTTGAAGTTGGACAAAATATTTATTATGTATTTTTAATATACATTTGAAACTTATACTCTTGCCTTTGATATCTTTCCTGAATATGCCAAGAAACAGATAGCAGTGCAGGAGTAGTTCAGCACTTAAATCAGGGTTGAGAAGACCTTGCATTTTCATGCTGGATTTCTTTTAGTATCAATCTTTAAATCCTTGAATAATTTGATCGCTTTAAAAAGAAAGAGAGGGGAAGAGAGAGACACCACTACCATCATCTGCACAGGTAATTGGAATCTCCTTAACAGGAGCTGGAGAGCTGAATAAACTGGAGTTGAGCTGAGCTGAGCTTTGAGCCGCCCTTCAACTGGGAAATGAGAACCGCCGTCAAACACGACAGGCACAGAGCCCAGCTGATGGGGACTGTGTCTGTCTCTCTTTCAGCTAACGATCCCCGCTTCTCGGAGGTCAGCTCTCGGATCAAACCCGAAAGAATTATTCCCCTTCCTAGGGATAATTATCCTTCTTCCTGGGGATAATTAGGACCCGCCGAAAACCGAGAGACAAGGACTCGGGGCGGGCGCAGGCACCGGCAGCACGAGTGGGGCAGGAGATTGGCAGCCCCTCTCCACAGCGTCCCGCCAAGGGAGGGGACTGCACGTTTGGAGTGTCCCCCGCCAAGGTCCCCGCATCCCTGTCCCCGAGCGGGGGCCGGGGCGAGGCGGGGCCGTGCGGGGCGGAGCGGGGCGGCCGCGCGGAGCTGTCCCTTCAGCACCACCGCGACAGCGCTGTCACCTCCCTGGTCCTGGCCCCGCCGCCTCCCCAGCCCGCCGCCGCCTCCGCCCGCCCTGCACAACACCCGCACAAAGCCTGGTCGGAGTCGGCGTGGGGACAGAGCACCCCAAATCCTCCCCTCCCCGCGGTGTGAGCCCGCTCCCCATCCCCGCCCACCGGGACTGGTGTTTCGGCAATAAATACTTTTGTTTCAGTGGCACTAAAGTTTGTCTAGGGAAGCGATGGCTGAAAGCCACTCCCTGAAAGCCGCAGTCGCCCAAAATATCTCATAAATATCGAGTTTTTTTCCCGGTAGATATAATGAGTAAGGGGATAGCAGCACAGGAAATGACAGAGGCCGAGTCGCCGAGTGTCCTCTCCCCGACTGCATTATTCGGTTTGTAGTGGGAATAAGAGGAACCGTTTAAACTTGTAAGGTAAATATGTTTCTACGTCAGACCTTTAGACTAATGTTGTTTCTCTTCAGGGTAAACGACGGTAATACCAAACTCCCCAGGACACTCAGACTTCGCAAACGCTTCAGAGCCGAGTGTTTAACACGAGTTCCAAACCTCTCCCCTAACTTTGACGTTCGATATTTACATTGACAGATGGTTATCAAATGAAGTGACACTCAAAAGCGATTTCCACGCCGGTCTGTAGCGCTACTGAAACCACATTTCCAAAAAAACTTCCTTCCTTTCTCCACGCGAGATCAAACTGCCGATTTAACAGCCCGGCGCCAGGGAACACGTTTCTCAAACTATCAGGGATCATCTCGGTTAAACGGGGAATGATACCACGAGTCAGGAAAACTCTGAATTCAGCGGGAGTATCCCAGAGCTACCGAAGAACAGATCGTTTGCAAAGTGCAAATGGACTGTGAAATGTGAAGTGCTCTAAGCGAGTTTGGACGTACTTCTGACAAATTATCACTGTTTTGGCAGTAAATCCAAACTACGCTAAATAGCGGGGGAGGAAAAGACAGGGAGAAATGGAGAGGGATGTATGTTTGTAAAAACTGATAGACGCAAGGATTTGTAACCTCTTACCTCTTCTTATCACACCTCCTTGCCCGTTGAGTACAAGTCCACACTGGGCCTCCACTGAGCTCTTAAGTAATGAGGGGAAAACAGGGAAAGAAAGGAAAGAAAGAAATCAGACACAGAAACCCACAGAGAGATCACACAGTTTTTGCTTTGTTACACGAATCACTCAGGAACAATAGTTAAGGTGAACTGGAAAACCAGTTACTCTCAGAGAGTCAAGTGCTCTGGTGAAATCTCCCACCATCCTGCCGTCAGCTCCTATCTCTCCAAATGCAAAACAAGTTTCCTTTCATTGCCCTGTAAATACGAATTTATGCTGAACTGGGAACTTAGACCGGCAGTTACGTGGCAGGATAGAGAGAGACAAACAAGTACTCCTGAGAGAAGTGTGTTCCCGCTCTACACGCACAAAGGTAAAAATACACTTATATATAGGGTGTTTTTTGTATGTCTAGCTGTATATTTATATAGAGACACGCAGCTAAATTCATGTGTGTGTTTAGCGACACTTATATACCGACTTACAAAGTGTGCACAGAGGTAGACAAAGAGCACAAACAACAGATGACCTACTGGGCTCTGCCGGCTACACAGAGTCGTAAGGGTGTTGTAACAATGCGTGTGTCCGCACATAGGTGGGGATGAATATGCATCTGTGCGCACACACACACAGGCACCCATGTGTGAGCGTGGGGTGAGGAACCATCAAAAAACCTGCCTAGGGCTTCTGCTGCACATCCGAAGAGATCTCACTTCTTTATTCTCCTCTTACAAGGCTGATTATTTGGGGATCTTCGCCCTCCTTAATAAATATTTTTATTGGAATGATAAAAGACTTGAAAGGGTTGGGTTTTCTTTGGGTTTTTCCTTATGTTGGGGTTAAAAAAACACAACAAACCAAACCTAAATCTTTGCCCAGTGGAAATGTGTTAAAGACGCATTTTCCTCTACAAACAAACGAGGTATTGGACATGAAAGAGGCCTTTAAGGGTGTTAACCTATTCAACAGCCCGTGAAGAGTTAAGTAAATGCGGAGAGAGTCGGTGCATAATAAAAACCCCACTTTACAAAACAATCTTTACAGTCCTGGCTCTCTCCCCCACTTTCACCATATTGGCGCTGGCCCTGTAAGACCTTCCTTTTCAAGGCTCTTTTTTATTTTAAGTGTTCTGCCTTAAAGTGATTATGAAATCAATATGAAAAAAACTTGGCGACTGAGCATAAATTAAAGCGGTGATGGGAAAAGGTGTGACAGTTTTCTTTGTTGCCCATGGAAAATCTTTTTAGGGCACTGAAAGATGCCACTCCAGCTCCAAGACTGTTTGCATCTGTTAGGCTGACTTAAACCGCCCTCGAAACTATTGGACATTCACTTAAAATTCTGTGCAGGGAAAAGTATATTTACATTTGTTGCATTTGAAATGAGGCATATGCTGATGAACGTTTTAAAAAGAAAGGCTAAGGGGAAAGGGGAAGCCTGGTTAGACCACAATTTTGGTTTAAAAGTGTTTGTGTGCAGTCTTGTTTCTGCTCGCCAACAAAATGCTTTCCCTTCACTAAACCCGAAGTGATATTCGCGACAGTGCAAGTTTGCTCTGAATCATCTTAAACGTAACGACAAATATCAATGTTTTCAACTTCTCACCACTCAGGCTTTTTGATACCTCTGCACACTCCCTCTTGTGTTCGGAAGAGGAGGGAGGAGGCAAAATAAAGAAAAGATTGGGTACAAACCCCTAAGTCTTTTAGTTTATAATAAAGCGTAATCGAAAAATAATTATTTTCTAAAGAAAAGCTGTTGATTTTCTTCTTCTTTAAATAAACAAAAAGAGAATGCGCTTCCAGCAGCTTAACCAACCCCCCCCCCTTTTTTTTTTTTTTAAAGGGAAACATGTTGTTTGGTCGGATGACATTGCATAAATGACCAGTTGAATGGCACTAAGTCGAAAATTGGATAAACTATGGTGCTTTTTTGCCCGGGACTTAGGCATTGTCTGCTGCCTTGCAAACGTTCCTAATCCCCTCTTTTGAAAAATACAAGGCTTTGTGCCTGCCAAAGAAAAAAAATTTGTACAGATACAAAAAAATCAGCAGCAGACGTGGTTATAAAAAGGAGTAAATAGGTTTTAGTTGGGTTGAGCAGTGAATGGCAGATTTTTTTTTTTTTTTGAGGGGGGTAACATAAGGAGATCCTTGTGAAAAATGTAAACAAAAAATGACCAGAGAGGATAAAATTATATAGCGAATTTTAATGGAGAAAATTAGGTTTAAAGGGGTTTCCTCCTCAGAGATATAAAAGATAACATTCTTTGCTATTGGGTTTATTTTCTTCCTTTAAAAAAAATAATCTTTTCCCTGATAAATGGAGGGGTTTGGTAATTTTTTTCGTGATTTGATTTTAAAAGAAGAAAATAAACCTTCTTAGTTTTACGAACTTCGGGTAGAATTGTTTTGCTTTTGTTTTAGGTTTGTTTTGGTTCCCCCCCGCCAAGCCTTTGACCGCTACATGTTTTTGGAAAGACCAACCAGCTTTGTGTGCCTGGGAGCGAGAAATGGGGGAAAAGTAAGTACAGTAAACACGGTCCCGTTTGTCTCGCCCTGCTGATGGGGAAGCCCTTAGTTCCTCAGCTCGTCGGGAGAAGGGAGGTTTGCTTTTGATTTGGGGGACATTTCGAAATGGGTGTTGAATACAGGAGGGCGTTGTTTGCAATTTTGGAAACCAATTTCATTTAAGCAACCGGCTCAATTTAGCGGAGATGAATTTTTAGCGCGGGGGAAAGGATTTCTGAGCGGATAAAGCTGAGGTTTTGATACATAGGAATAGAATTTTTAGAATGGATCCAGATGCCGGTTAGGGTGGAGTAGACGAAGATAGATAGATAGATAGGTGCATTTAGCTTTATCTGCTTTATCTCTCATCTCATTAACACCTAGATCGGATATTGTGAGGGACTTTTATCATCCTGACTCCTTCTGATGAACAATTGCTCCCATTTATTTCTTTCCTCTCTCATACCACGGAAAGTTTGCCTTTGTATGTCTGTCGGAAAGCAGATTTATTTCCTGCCCGGCTTTTATCTCTTTTTCCTACTCCATCCCTTTCTTAAATAATTTTCCCGCTCTGTCGCTGCAAATTGTTCCGTTCTCCGAAAGAAAGGAAAAGTTTAGGAAAAGCGGGAGGATGGGTTTGATTTGGTTTTGTTTGGGTTCTGTGTGACTTTGGTAAGGGCTGGTACAGGCACTCACTCACCCCCAGATCTCCGGATGAACCCCACGGTCTCAGCCATCACAGAGACACAACCCACGCGGGGAAGGCAGGAGCGAGGTTGTTTTTGTTTAATTTGTTTGTTCGTTTGGCCAAGAAAGACAACTTGCTTTGTTTTGTTTTGTTTTGTTTTTTCCCCTCCACATTTTTTGCTTGTCGCTACTAATCTGGAGGGGACGGGCTCTGGATCGGATTTGGGATGAATCGTCCCTCCTTTGTATGAGCTATTCCGAGCAGAGGAAAATGGGGGTGGGGGTGGGGAGGGGGGTTGGGGGGGTCCAGGGAAGGGGGAGGGGAGAAGAAGGTACCTCGAAAGGAGATCGCATGCTATTTACCTGCAAATCGTCTGCTCCCGAGGCTGCAAGCCCGAGGCTTGGTCCTGGCAGGAGTCTTTGATCTGGATGCATCCCATATTGGGATCCATGGCTCATAAGAGACAGGTCGTGGCGGCGGTAAGCATCTAAGCACCCCAGCTCTCTCCTCTGCTCGTCCAGGCAAGAGGACTTGAGCGCCCGCGCATTGTGCAGGTTGATAAAATCAGTGGGTTCTCCATGGTGGATCTGCTGGTAATATTGCTGGGAGTGATGGAGAGAGTTCAAGGAGTAAGCGTCGGGGTTGACTGCCGGGTGGCTGTGTTGGAACTCGTAGTGGAAGGACTGGTGGTGCAGTGGGGTGTACTGGTGGTTAGTGGAGAAGTACGGGGAGGCGAACTCGGTGCCCGTGGTAGAGTAAGTGAGAGGAGATGAGGAGGAATAGGCGACGGTCGAGTTGGCCACAGACTCCAGGCATCCAAGCTGCATCAAACGGTAACTGTTTGATCCGTCATGACGTATCTGAAAGGAAGAAGCGAAAAGAAGACCCCAAAACTGGAGGTTTGTCATTGAAAGCCCCGGGTACGGTTCTTCCAAGCACGCTGTCCTGCATAGCTTCCCCCCCTGCAGAAGCGTCTAAGCCTGCGAACGGCAACCCCAGCAACAAAAGACCCTTTCCTACCTTGGGCTGGTGCCATAAAGGTCTGTTCAAAAAATCATAAAGAGCCCAGCCTGCCCTTAATACAGTTAAGTGAAAGGAATTCACGCACTGAAATAAAAACTATCTATCCATCTATCTGTCCATCAGTCTATCCATCCTCCTCCTGATCACAGCTGTAATATCTGGGGCTGACACAAAAAAAAGTCATCAAACAGAGGAAACTACCGAGAATACACACAAGTCCCGTCCCTATGTTACAGCGTTACACATTGAGAAAGCTTTGCCGCCTGTTTGCCTTCCTTCCTTTCTTCCTTCCCTTCTTTTTTTTTTTTTTTGAACCCCTATTTTTCTTTCTTTTTAAAATAACGAATCAGATCCAAAATTCCCCCCCTCCTTTCCCTGCGTTTCGAAAGAAAGGAGAGTCCTGCTTTCTAGCGAGAACTCCCCATTCCTGGCGAGCTGGTGGTGATTTCTCTCCACTTCATTATATTATTAGGGGTATTATTCTGATTTTCGTTCTGGCAACGGTTTTAACGTGGTAATGAGTTGCCCTTGCTGGCGACAGATGTCATAACGAATTTTCTCTCTATACTTCTTTAAGTTATCTCTGAAGCCGGATTATAATTAAATGTAACGGTCCAATATGGATTTAAAAAAAATGGAAACAACCACACAGGCACATACACACACACATATGCACACACACGCACACACACATCCACACACGCACACACACACACTCACATACACAAAATACCTCTGCATCGTGGACGAGACCTGGAAAGGTAGTTGACATTTTTTGGTTCTCCGAAAAAAAAAAAAAAAAAAAAAAAAAAAAAAAAAAAAAAAAAAAAAAAAAAAAAAAAAAAAAAAAAAAAAAAAAAAAAAAAAAAAAAAAAAAAAAAAAAAAAAAAAAAAAAAAAAAAAAAAAAAAAAAAAAAAAAAAAAAAAAAAAAAAAAAAGGAAAAATTTGAAAAATCCAAAGTTCATGTATTTCCCCAATTTTTTTTAGAAAAAATCTCTACAGACAGAGAGAATTTGCAATGTATCTGCATAGATCAGATCTCTCGCTTTTCCATGCACCTCCTTAAAAACCTGTAGGAACAAAATTTTCCCTCTGCACAAAAGCTGCTCCCTGGATCAGATTTTGTACTTGCTGGGTATTTCTTTGGCTGATGTCGTAGGTCCCTTGGTAATATAGAAGTTTTGAAAATTAAGCATCAGCACTGAGAACTGGGAGGACAATAGATAGAGGAGCTTCATCCCAGGAGACAAGGAATAAATATTGTATCTTCGCCTAATAAGGAACTGTAGGTTCTTTCAACATTTTTATACATTTTTTCCTCCACTCTTTAGAATGCTTTTTCTTACCCAGGCTAATATGGGAACTAATGTGATCGAAGGGGGTATTTTGTGTACATTTTATTGGGAAGACATAAAGCTAATATATATATAAATATATATTATTAAACCATCCTTTTCAATAGGTAAGTGCTCCTTCCTGTTGATTATACTGCTTTTAAATACTGACTAGAATCTAAGATTGCACATTTGTATGTGTGTCTGTTTAACTGTATTTTTTTTTTTCTAAATGAAAACTATGTGGTTTGTTTTGGTTTGAGTTTTTTTTTTTTTTACCCTTTCATTTACATCGAATTTAAGTCCACCCCACACTCCAACCTGCTTTTAAAGCTGCCTAATATGTTATCTTACAGGCTTCTTTAAATAGCATTTTCAAACATAAAACTAGGGTGAGACTACAAAGTATCACTGCAGTGACATATGATGTGGAATTATACATAAAATACATATAGATCCAGGGAATTACATCTGCAAAAGGGGGAAGAAAAATAGGGAAGGGAACGCAAGAGCTAAAGACCACTGGCTCGACATTTCCAAGTGCCGATATATTTTGGAGAGGGGAACGCACGGAGGCTGCGTAGCCCCGGGTTGCAAAGCTGAAGGGGGTACGTGATTTATTTATTTAGTGACACCGGTCCGAGGAGCTGCCACTCGGGGAAATAAGTCCTGTCCGCCCGCCCGGAGCCCCCCTGTCCCTCTGCCCCCAGGTAGCGGCTCTCCAGCCCCGCAGCCACCGCGGGCTCCGCCCGGGGAGCGCCCGGGGGGGCCCGCCCGCTGCCGGGCGAGCTCGGGGCGGAGGGGGGGGGGGGGGTGGAAATCACACACCCCTCGAGAAGATGCCAACCCAAATGGCATTTCCCGGCGGGGAGGCTCTGCTGATGGCCAGCTTCCACCCGTGACAAGCCTGGAGATAGGAGAGGGTGTAACTCGCTTTTAATTGCCATTTAATTTGGGTCGCGTTTAAGCGTTTAAGCTGCGAAGGTGTCTTAATAATAAGCCGGAGGCAAAGAGGCATGTGGCTCCCTGCCTCGCTCTTGCCTTTTTTTTTTTTTTTTTTTTTTTTTTTTTTTTTTTTTTTTTTTTTTTTTTTTTTTTTTTTTTTTTTTTTTTTTTTTTTTTTTTTTTTTTTTTTTTTTTTTTTTTTTTTTTTTTTTTTTTTTTTTTTTTTTTTTTTTTTTTAAGGTCCAGGTTTTGGGAGGGTTTATTGGTATCTGTTCATGCAAGCTAACAGGAGCTGTCACTCAGCACTCTTTTCTTCCTACAAATGGACAAAGGCACACGACTGGAATGGAAATGCATTGTCTGAGATGGGAAAGTGCGGGTATCCCGGCGGGCGGGGGGGCGGGAGGGGGGAGGGGGGGGCACACCTCACACCTCTCCAGGGCGCTGCTGAGGAAATGGGCTCCCCCCCGACCTCCCGCCCCGCCCGGCCCACCGGGAAAGGGAGGAAGGAGGGAAGAAGGAAGGAAGCAGGGGAGGAAGGAAGGAAGAAGAGAAGGAAGGAAGGAAGGAAGGAGGGAAGGAAGGAAGGAAGGAGGGAAGGAAAAAAGGAGGGAAGGAAGGAAGGAAGGAAGGAAGGAAGGAAGGAAGGAAGGAAGGAAGGAAGGAAGGAAGGAAGGAAGGAAGGAAGGACCTGCTTCTTTCTCTTCATTTGGATTTCCTGCAGTTCTATTGCTGTTAATGGAATAAAAAAAATATTTCTCCCCAACGTATATTTGAAAGAAAATCTAGGAATTCTTCTAAATTCAGGTTTTGTTTGATCTTCTCAAGATTTTGAGAGTTGAAAGAATTTAAAAAACCCCACCCAAACAACCAGCCCCCCCCCCCCCTCCCCCCCCCGCCCCAGTCCTAGAAATGAACAAACTCTGCTCTTTCCAACACCCCTTTAGAGTGTGGCAAGCGCAGTGGAAACAGCCACACCAGCCTTGAGCAGGGAGGCTGACCTACCAAAAAAGTTAAGACATTGTGAGCACGCTTTCCTGAAAGAGGGAGAGGTACTCCTTCCATTCGAGAAGAAGGACAAACCCCCTCCCAAACCCCCAGTGCACTCCCCAGCTCAGCTGATTTTCAGTTACTTGCACTTTAGAACTTCAGTTCTGTGTAGGTATTGTTATTTATTTTTTGGGAGAGGAGGAAGGAAATTTTTTCCTCGACCTGGCCAAGGCAAGCCCAGCTCAGTGCATGAACGGGGCACACACGGCGAGGGGACAAGAACGAGGGCGACCCAGGCAGAGGGAGCGCGAAGCGCACGGAGCCCCCGCCGTGACCGAGGGCGCTCCAGGGCGGCAGCGCCTCCCACCAAATCACCCCGCAGGACACTTGTCCCTCAACGAAACTGTTTATTTATTTTATTTTCAGGAAACTACGTGCGCGGGAGAGGGATCTGGGGACAAGAGTCCCTTCTTTTGGATCCCGTGGGTACCGTGGTGCGGTTGTCCCCCAGCACTGAGCGCTGCGCGGGAGGACACGCACAGTGCAAGGGCTGATGCCTTCCCAGCTCGCTTCCAGGAGATCACCCTGCTGCCAGAGATCAGTTCTGTAAGAGATCGACCCCCGTCCGACCCCTTCCCCCTCCATCCTCCCTTCCCACGCACACGCAGCCCAGACGAACCCACCGCCACGCCACCAGCCAGCTCGGAGCCCAAACTTCGCTTCAAACAACAACAAAGCCACCAAAATGGTTTTGTTTGGAGGAAAGTTTATAAGAAACCCGGCTTGCCAGATGCACGTTACTGGTCAGTTCCATCTGTTAGCTTCGTTTACAGACCCTAAAAAAAAAAAAAATCATATAGACCGTTTGCGCTTTTAACTCCCCCCAATCCAATTAATAACGCGAGTCAAACTGCAAAACACTTATTAATTGCTCCCAAAGAAAAATCTTTCAGGAAAGTTAATTGGGAGCTTTCTGGTTTTCCAACCAGCACTACGAGCAGAGCAGACAGACTTTGCCTTGAGTTTCTTTGTGGCTGAGCACGTTGTTTATCCCTTGCCTGAAGTTTTGCTTCTGCTCCTGAGCTACAGAAATGGGATTTGTTTTGGGGTTTATTTTTGTGTTTTTTAAGGAGTCTGGAGAAACAATCGGACGGGGCTGCTGGGAGGGGTGGGGATTTTTGGAAAAAAAAAAAAAGGCAAGAAATAAAAAGTTCTTCTCTGGGATCATCTCACTTCCCCTGATGGTTCACTGAAGTGTGCAGAGCGTCTGGTGCTGCTGCAGGGACAGTCTGGGCTTGACGTCTGGCTGCTGTATGAAAGCAGCTCCCGAGACTGACTGAGCTCTCTCACCTCCTGTTTGTCTTACAAGCGTTTCCTAGCATTTAAGAACCTGAAATCACATTTTTTCCTCTCATTTCTCCATCCTGTCTTAGTTCCTGCATTTTGCTGGTTACCCAATAATAGTTTAATTTGCTCTTTAATTAAGAGCCTTCTCGTCCACTGAAAGTCACCAAAACTTGGTCTTTGCTGGACCTAAACTTCTGATGACTTCTCTTGGGTTTTCTTGTGTCTGAATGAGATCAGAAAGTAGTTGAAGCCATCACGGGCAGCTGGAGTCAGCAATGCCACCCTTCATGACGCTCTTTTCCGTGGAGGACAGAAAGAGAAGTCCCCCTTGTGCAGACAGTAGAGGCTTTTTGCTTAATACACTTTTCCCTCCCCTTTGTCCTCTGCGGTTCCTGAAATTTGCGGACTGTGAGCTTTGGGAATGCTCATCTGACCTAAAACAAAGGCAGCCCTGGGGGTCGCTTTTGTGAGTCAGTAGGTCCTGGCCATTGTTTGCAGATCTATTGTTACTGACACCGAGATTAGCTCAGCTGGTTGGAGCACGGTGCTAATAATGCCAAGCTTGTGGGCTTGTGTCCTTGTGTGGGCTGATAACTTCAGAGTTGGACTCCATGACCCTTGTGGGTCCCTTTCAACTCAGAATATTCTGTGATCCTTTGTCTTACCTCTTTCTCCTGCTCTGCTGAATTCCTCCCTCTTCTCTGGCAGAAGGGCTGAACCTAAACATGGACCCCCCTCTGTACTGAGCATCACCATCCCTGAACTTCACATGCAGGGAAGACCCCGGGAGAGATCCAGACTTCTGCACGTGGGAGAGAGAGGGAGTTGATAACTCTCTTCCCTTCACATACACTCACAGATTACTCACCTGTATTGTCAAGCACACCTCTGTGTGAGCAAGATAATTTTTTCCTCATTTCCCTTTAGCAATCATTATTTTGAGAGTACAAATTACGTTGTATTGCTTTTTCTCTGCCAAGGAGGATAGTTTGACACTGAAGTTCACAGAGTGTAGCCATGGGCAATGAAAGTGGGGAGTTTTGGAGGGGTTTTCTTCAAGTTACGAGACAAGAGATGTCCTGCAAAAGATTTTTTTCCCCGCCTTCTGAGCTCAGCTTCGAAGCCCACCACCATGTTTCCTCCTCCTTGCAAATTTGTATTCTGCC